CAGCTGCGGTTTACAAAACAAAAATCTGGACTAGAGAGACGCCGTCCATAAGTAATAGCACTACAATCTGAATTTCTAAGTCCAGCCAAAGGGTTATCGTCAACACGTAAATATGAGTTTGCTGAACTGGAAGGCAGTGCTCACATTCCTACCAGTCAAGGTTTGAAAGACCAGGCTTCCTAAATTGCTACGGAGGGGAGAAGATTTTAAAACATGCTTGAAGAAACACATTTCCTGGGCCTGAAGGCCTAGAACAATGAGCTCTGGTGGTACAGTGGGTTAAGCGTTGGGCTCTTACTGCAAGGTCCACCAGCTGTTCAAATCCACCAGTTGCTCTGAGGGGAAACTAGGAGGCTTATTTCTCCCATAAAAGATTCACAGCCTTGGAAACCCTGGGGTGCAATTCTACTCTGTTTTATCTCCCTCCTCCTCACACTCACCAAGTCGATTCCAACCCAGAGTAGAACTGCCCCTGTGGGACCCCAAGACTAGAAATCTTTTTTTTTTAAGGTTATGAGATTAGAAAGCCTCGTCTTTTTTTTTTTTTTTTTTTTAAACATTTTATTAGGGGCTCATACAACTGTTATCGCAATCCATTCACACATCAATTGTGTAAAGAGCATGAAAGCCTCGTCTTTATTTATCAGAGCAGCTGGTGGTTTTGAACACTGATCTTGCGGTATGCAATCCAATGTGTTACCAACCACTATGCCACTCTGTTGTAAACTAAAAAAAAACAAAAGACGCTCCCGAGTCAATATCGTTTCATAGTAAACCTACAAGACAGGACAGAAGTGCCCTTGTGAGTTTTGAATACTGTAACCTTTAAGAGAGTTCTAGAAAGCCCTGTCTTTCTCCCAAGGAGCAGGTGGTGGCTGGGAACTTGACCTTGCAGTTAGCAGCCCAATGTGTAACCATTATACCCAGGGCGTCTGGATCTGTTGCATGGTGTCTACACTATTAACTGGATTCTCCTTGTTGGCAGAAAGATTTGGGGAGGCCAGGAAAAAAAGTCTCCCAGACATCAAGAATTCCTTTGTTTATTGCATTTCACTTTCCGGTGCTTCCCAGATATTGCATCTTTTTATAAAAAATGGAGGATTGGGCAACTCCACCTACCAGGTCTATCGACACCATCTTTTCTTGTGTCTCTGACACCATCTTTTCTTGTGTCTCTGTGTCTCATTTTGGTCATTTTCACAATATTTTCAAGGTGTTCTTTCTTCCCGCCCCCCCAAGCTTTTTCTTAATGTAACTGCACACTTCATAACTACAATATAAATGTAAACAATTATATGCACTGAAAACATAATGTATGAAACTATTATGTCCGCTGAGATACCAAAAACATTGCGTGACTCAGTTTATTAAGATGTTCACTACACTGGGGTGGTCTGGAAATGAACAGTATGCCTGAACATTGATGAATTTTAAAATTATAACTTGTCAATTCAAAATGGAAGTATAATTAAAAATGACTAGATCAATAAATGTACAAAATTAAAATATATCACTCCACTTACACTAAAAAAAAAAACAAGGGGGGGTGGCAATGCCTTCCCTGGGGCGTTCATAGACTAAATGACACTTGTATTCTACACAATCATGTAAAATAAAGCAAAGTTCAATCCAACAACTCACTCTGTTAAAAATGATATGAGTTAAAAGATGATTTTCATGTTTCAAATTAGGGTGGGAAAAGAAGCCTCACCGTAATAAAAGGAAAGAGGAAAATGTGTAGAGATACTGTGTGTAATAAATGGATACAAGGTTTCTAAATGTATTATACATACAACACACTCGAGCAATCACAGAGGATGTCTGTGTAAGTTTTTTCCTTGAAAATGCAAATCTGATTTCTAAGACAATCAGGGAAATTTAAACACCAACTGGATTTCAAACCAAGCCCACCGCCATTGAGCAGATTCCAAGTCATAGCAACCTACAGAGTAGATAACTGCTCCTTTGGATGCCAGAGCCTTTACTGGAGGAGACAACCTCCCTTCTCTTTCTTTCATGGAGTAGTTAGTGGTTGGAGGATCCAAACCATTGACTTTGTGGTTAGTATCCCAATAACTACATTCACTAGGTTAAGACTATGCCACCAGGGCTCCTTAACTGAAATATTAGATGATGTTAATATTGTAACTCTTTTAGAGATCACCCTTGTTAAGAGGTGTCCTAGTGGTGCAGTGGTTAAAGCGCTCAGTAGCCCACCAACCACTCCACTAGACGGTCTTAGAAATCCCATGGGGCGGCCCCACTCTATCCTGGAGGGTCACTGTGAGTCAGAATTGTCTCAAAATCAACGGGTTTTTAGCAATATATCTGCCAACGAACACTGACCACTGATCTGTGAAAACTGCCCTCAAGGAAGCCGTGGTGGGCAGGGCAGATAAGAGGAGGGGAGGATAACCAAACCCAACTAGTCGTTTGGTTAGAGACACGTGACACTCACGTGACACCGTAAAGCCACAGGGGGAGTTCATCCCCTCTTCATTCAGATTTTGCTAAATTGGAGAGAGAAGTGAAAATCCAACGTGTAAAAAGCATATGTATGTAGAACAAAAAGTCATGAATACTTGTTCGAGAATGTTCAGTCCATCACCTCAAGAACAGAAAACCACCAAACACTGAGAATTTGGGTCAATGGGCCTGGAGGCCTAGAACTTGGGCAAGCCATTGACATAAAACTCTGCCATTGATGCTGACTCACTGCAACTTCACCCCATAGGGCAGAGTTTCCAAGAATCTAACTGTTTATGGGAGTGGAAAGCCTGCGAGGCTGGGGGTGTTGAACTGCTGACCTTGTGGATCGCAGGCCACCTTGTAACCATTAAGCCACCAGGGCTCCTCAATGGCCACAGTCAGTGACTGAGGTCTCAAAAGCTTGCCAGAATCCATCAAAGGTGCAACTACTGGTCTCTCCAGGTCGGACGCAAATCAAAGCAAAGAAACCCAAACCCTGAAGAAACAATTAGCCGAAAGATTCAGGGACCCCAAAGACATCAGTCTGCGCATGCTGAGAACAGAACTCCAGAAGGGGTCCGGCTACCATTGCTGGCATCTCCGAAAGGGGATCAGATTAAAAGGTTCTAAACAGACTTGGAGAAAAGTGTGAAACAAAACTCAAAATCATTTTTTTAAAAAAGAAAGACCAGTCTTATTGGTCTATTGAAGATTCTGGAACCCCAAGGTTATGAACCTTAGTCACTCAGGTGGGAACTTTAACGACTGAACTTCCGACTCAACTTCCTGCCAAAAAATAGGTCCCATCTGGTGAACAAGGAGCCTTGGTAATGCAGTGAGTGGATTAAGCACAGGGCTGGCTGCCAACTGGTCGGCAGTTTGAACCCACCAGCCACTCTGAGGGAGAAAGATGAGGCAGTCTGCTCATAGCAGTGCGTGAGAGGTGGAGCTGTAGGGTGAACAATCCCACCATAGAGGTTCCAATTTAGGACAGACAACCCCAGGAGATCAGAAGGGCAGCATTTGCCCAGGGAGCAAACTCAGAGGCTGGGGTAGGGCGCCTACTACAGGCAAGACAGGGAGAGTGCACTTAATGGGACTTGCCAAGAAGCAAACTGAGAATTATTGAGTGGAAAACCATTTTTTCCTCTGAAGACTTGCACTTGGATCACATTAAACGTTTTTTTGTTTTCGTTTGTTTTTTAATCCTAAAGAGCACAGTTTAACACGAGCAACAGAGCAGAACTTCTAACCCCATGGCTATTCAGCTTGGGGTACACTGACCCTTCCCTTTCTGGTCCTCCCGCTTTGGACTTTCTTCCGCTTCCGGAATTCAGATGACCCTCAACAGACCTAAATTCCAGCAACTCAGAAACAGAATTTTAAAGTGTTGACTCACAAGCTACTAAATGCCTTCCTTTTTAAAACAGGAAGCTCATTCAAAGGCCACCCTAGTCTTTTTTGCATATTAAGGGAGCAGAAAGTCATTACATTCTCAAGTTAAGCATTTTCTTTCTAGGCTTCGTCCTTCCTTCCCTGTGCACAGTATCCTTGTACGGTGTATGCTATCGCCACGTGTGGGCAACCGATCCAAAGGCCTTTGTTGATGCAAAGTGCCTGATCAGACAGTTTGAGAGCAACCATTTTAGACACAAGGGCCTACTAATGGTGTTGGGGGTTGGGGGTGGGGGACGACACTGAGACTCTATCAGCGAAGCACAGCTGAGCAGAAGTCACAGGGGCGGATTAGATGGCAGGATGGGCACAGGCCAGAAGGAACCCTGAATCCCATCAAGCGCGCCTTCATTCAGAAGTGAAAGGGGTGCTGGAGACAGCAGACTGGGGTGATTCCAGGGTGCAGGGAAAGGATTTAGAAAGGGTGACGGGCAGTACAGATGGCACTGCCTGGAGAAAGGCGAAGAGGGAGGCCGGTGGACTGGCAGGGCGCTCAGGACAGCCGTGCCACCCCCGCCTGGACGGAGGGGAAAGGCCTAGGCCCAGGCGTATGGGTGGAAGCCATCTTTGTCGGTGGGACGGCTGACCCAGGAAAGAAAGAGCCCAGTTGCGTTGCGGCACGGGCTCTGCATCGCAAGGGACGCCCGCACCTTGGAACGCACCCTATTAGGTAGAAAAGCGCCCGTGGATGCGGCAGCGGCTACCGGGGAGGTGAGCGTGCAGCTCAGAAGACCAGTTAAGAGACTGGTCCCAAGAAGGTGTGGTCCACGCGGGGGTACGGCCAGAGGGAACACTATCTCATTAGTAACTCAGGAGAGGGTCGCCTCGATCGGCGAGTGAGGGCCGGCGCCTGATGTAGGTGCAGATCACAGGCTAAGACTGAAGTGGGGCCCCTGGGTGCGGGGCGCGACGGGGGTGCTGGGAACCCCAAGGGGCAGAAGTGGAGATTTCAGAGACTGGAAGTCCCTTCCCTTCGACCCCGACCCTGGCTTCAGTTTCATCGGCCTGGGGCTGACCTCAAGCCCTTCAGCTTTGGAGGAGGGGGCTGTGCGCAGTCTGCCCCCACCCGCCCCCACCCGCGGGCTCCAATCCCGCCAAGGCCTCCAGGGAGACTGAGTTTGGAGGTGGCGACGGGAAGGGGCCGGGCTGGGCGGATAGAGCGCGGCTGCCCAGAGCAGGGTTCTCCTGGGAAGCTGAGCTGTGGGGCGCAGGTCCCCGCGAAGACGCGTCCCCTCCCCAGCTGCGCCTACCACCCCGCCGCCCCCCCGCCCCCAACCGGCCGCAGCCCCACTCACCGATCCGCGTGCGAATAGTTGCAGCGGCCCAGCAGGTTGAGCTTGCAGAGGTGCAGGTTCTCGCAGGGTCTCTGGCAGAACTTGCGACGGCAGACCCGCGCCCGCGTGGTGGCCACGACGGCGCGGACGGCGCCAGTGTCCAGCAGCACGAAGCGGTCGGGCCCGGCGGCCTTCAGCACCTCGCAGAGCTGCTCCTCTGACAGCGCGATCTCGCCCAGCAGGGCGTCCAGCGCCATGCGGCCCCCTTGGGCGCACAGCAGCTTGGTGAGGTAGCAGCACACGCTGGGGTCCGCCATGGCGATGTCCGCGCCCGGGCTGCAGCGAGCGCTACTGTCGCCTCGGCGCCGGGAACCGAAACTTACCAGGGGCCGCGGGCGGGGCGGGGCGGGGCGTGCTTCCCGGTCGGTCGCTTTCGGTTTCCAACTCCGCCTGATGTCGCCGCCGGGGTCCGCGGGGCGGAGGGCCCCGCGCGGGTCGCGGCGGGGCGAGCACCCGGACCCGAGGCGGATCCGCGCGGAGAGCGCCCAGAGATGAGCTGGGGAGTGGGTGCGGGCTTGCGGAGCCCCCGGTGGGGCTGACGCGGGACCCGGGTCCTCGCGCTCCCCACCGCGCGCCCTTCCCGGAATGAGCGCGGCCGCCCGGGGCGCCTCCCTGCAGCCCGGCGCGCGGCCCGCGGGGTTGGAGCGAGTCCGCAAGACCGCTGCGCGCCTGGCTGTCACGCCTCCCTGCCCGAGGTTGAGGCCAAGGCTGTCGCTGGCACCCGCAGCGCTCCAGCTGCAGGCCGGGGCTTCCCCCAATCTTCCCCTGGCCCCAGCTTGTGCCCCGCCGGGTCCACGATCCACGTGTATATGTACCCACACTGCTGTGTCCCTTTAACAACAACAACAAAAACACCTCACAGCCATCGAGTCGAGCCCAACTCGCAGCAACCCTGTAGGACAGGGTAAAGCTGCACCTGTGGGTTTCTGAGACTGCGACTCTGTAGGGGAATAGAAAGCCTCGTCTTTCACGTGCGGAGCTGCTGGTGGTTTCGAACCGCAGAGGAGCCCAGATTCTTCCTCTCCTACTTTGCCTTCTCATCAGCTCTTAGAAGCACCACGCAGGAGCCCCCTTGCTGCTTACATAATTGTAATTGCTGAAGACAGCAGCGCCCCAGACCCCACTTCACCCTCCTACCACTTCCCCACTCCTCCCCGCAACTGTCCCCCAGTAAGAAGTCAAGCTGACACCTCAGGACTTCAGATTTCAGATCTCAGGACTTCAGATCTGACCTCTTTCAGCAACTGGACGAGACATTCCTCCTAGTTCCTCCCTCAAATCACTGAATAGGGTCATTGATCAGATAAGAAGTGAACCTTTAAAACAATAGGATTTGGTTGCCAAATTTGAAGTTCTTTTAAGTCACCCCCTGGAAAGTCTCCTGCTTTGGGGAACAGGATGTCTATAGAGGTTCAGGTGACCAGAGGATGTCCCAGTAGAAAGCCAGCCAGCCCTGTGCTCAGCTCCTACTTCCTGGGCCTCTGGCTACTGCTGCGACCACACTTGTCCTTTGATTCCTCAGGTTTATTTTGTGGTCTGACAGGTTCCCAGGAATGTGGACTTTCCTTGCCAGCCAATCCATTAGGTTCACTAGATTTACCAAGAGTCCTCCTTTCCATAAAAGGAAAGAACTAGGAGGCAAGGGCATTTATAGAGATCTAAATACAGGTATGTACATATGTAAATATATTTTTATATGAGAATGGGGAAATAGATCTATGTACATATATTTATAGGTTTAGTATTAAGGTCTCAGATGGACATTGGGCCTCCACTCAAGTACTCCCCCAATGCAAGAACACTTTGTTCTATTAATCTGACATTCCGTAATGCTCACCTTCCCGACACAATTGCTGAAGACAAAGCTGGTGCGGAAGCAAATGTGAAGAAAGCTGATGGTGCCTGGCTATCAAAAGAGATAGCGTCTGGGGTCTTAAAGGTTTGAAGGTAAACAAGCAGCTATCTAGCTCAGAAGCAACAAAGCCCACATGGAAGAAGCACACCAGCCTGTGTGATCTCGAGGTGTGGTTGGGATCAGGTATCAGGCATCAAAGAACAAAAAATCATATCATTGTGAATGAGGGGGAGTGCGCAGTGGGGAACCAAAGCCCATCTGTAGGCAACTGGACATCTCCTTACAGAAGGGTCTTGGGGAGGAGACGAGCCAGCCAGGGTGCAGTGTAGCAACTTTCCTCTAGTTCTTAAATGCTTCCTCCCTCCACTATCATGATCCCACTTCTACCTTACAACTGCGGCTAGACCAGAGGATGAAACCTGGTACAGATAGGAATTGGAAACAGGGAATCATGAACAGATGAACCCCTTAGGACCAGTGGTGAGAGTGGCAATACTAGGAGTGTAGAGGGAAGGTGGGGTAGGAAGGGGGAACCAATTACAAGGATCTACCAATAACCCCCTCCCTGGGGGACAGACAACAGAAAATGGCTAAAAGAAGATGTCGGACAGTGTAAGACACAACAAAATAATAATTTATAAATTATCAAGGATTCATGAGGGACAGGGAGGGAGGGGAAAAATGAGAAGCTGATACCAAGGGCTCAAGTAAAAGCAAATGTTTTGAGAATGATGATGGCAACCAATGTACAAAGGTGCAGGACACAATGGATGGATGTATGGATTGTGATGAGAGTTGTACGAGCCCCCAGTAAAATGATTAAAAAGGAAAAAAGAGTCCTCCTTTCCAAGAAGGCATAGATCCTTCTGAACATAAATAACAGGTTTGCTGAAAGGGGGGTCCTTGCAGATCAGGACTTTGTGTTTGAAAAGGCAGGAAACCACAATAAGAATGTAAGTCCCAGACTACTGCCACTGATTTATGGAAACCTTTATTAAACAAAAATATCAAGGCAGAAGCTGTGCTGGGTCTATTCACTCCCATAGACAACGGTCTCAGCTCACACCCTGCCCCCACCCCAAGAATTCTGCCAGCAGTTTGGACAGCCTCAAGGGACTCACATCCTGTTCCTTTTTAATGTTTGAGTTTGGGGAACACATTGAAGTCAGAATGGACGAGCTCAGGGGCATGAGGTGGAAAGAATAAGTTTTCCCAATTAAATCCTCATGAGACAGCCCTTGCTACCCTTGAAGAAAGGGCAGGTGGATTGCTGTGGTGGTGGGGAAAAATGTACTCAGAATCATTTTCTGACCAGTGCCATTTTTAATTTTCTTCAAATTTCTTCCTAAAAAAAAAAAA